AGTAGTGTAGGTCAGGTGCATCTCCTCGACACTGTTTTGGTCTGGTCACAACATAGGAACTGTGCAGTTACAAGTGAAGAAGTCATGTTGCTGTCAGGATAGTCTATAAGTTTTTTTTTTTCTTTTTTTAAGAAGATTTGTTTATTATTTTTAAAAATTTTGACCAGAGACAGAGAAAGAAGGAAAGAAAGAAGACACCAGCTCTGAGACTCGAACCATGGTTGGGCACGTGGGAGTTCAGCATCTAACTACCATGCCACCTGCCGGACCCTATGGAGACTATTTTAAGTTTTGAGCATTTTCCTTGGAGGGAAACTCTTATTTATGTTTATACAAACACTTTTTCTTTTAATTGCAAAGGATGTATGTACACACACGAGAAAGAGGAGGGAAAGGAGGAGGAGAAAGAGAAAGAGAGAGGGAGAAAAGGAAAACCATACGGAACTTGGTCATGCCACAACCCTCTTTCCTCTAATTCTTCCCATCAGGATACTTGGTGCACACAAATACCTCCAGTATGTTTTTCTTTTCCTTTTTAAAAAAGAATTATTTAATTTCATGTGTTATTATTATTGATTTTTAAAAATTGGATCAGAGAGAAACAGAGAGAAAGGGAAAGTGAGAAAGCAAGCTTCCAGGACCTGGACTTGAGCTGCGGTCTGCCATGTGGGAGTATAGTGCCACAGCCACAACCACCACACTATCTGCTGGACCCAACCTCCAGCATGTTTTTCAAGCCAACAGGGCCAAGACTTGAATTCTGATTGGTCATGTGGGATCTGGCTTCTTCTACAGTGTGTAACCACTACAAAAAGGGGCAGCCCTGTATAAATACACTTTTTATCTGCCTTACATGTTTGGTATTCCATACATATTCTCACTGGCAGAGAAAAGCCTGCTACTCAAACAATCACACTATATATGGGACCAGCAGGTGACATTGTGGTTAAGGCACTGGATACTCCTATATGACTGCCCATGGTTTGAGTCCTGGACCTGGTAGCTTGCTTTCTCATTTTCTCTCTCTCTCTTTCTCTCTCTCTCTATTCAAATGAAATGAGTGAATCAATAAAATAAGTAAATAAATAATTCTTTAAAACAAAACAACAATCACACTATATCTATGTTGCCTAGGCTACCGGGGAAAATAATTAAGATTCTTAGGAATTAAGCTCTCTGATCATCAATTTTTAAAAAATCTATTTTTGAAGTATGCAGAAGGAATTTCTTTTTCATGTAGGTATGTGAGGTCTTTCATAAACTTATAACGGACTACAGGGCTACAGTGAGAATTTACACTAGGGAATCAACTAATTGCTTGAGGAAACAGAGCATTCATCATTATACTGAAAAACAAAACCCCCTTACAGGTTAATGGGGTATTTAGTAGTAACTACTAAGGAGAGAAGGGAAAATGTTAACATGCGTGGGAGTGCAGATGTGGGATTAAATACAGAGGGGGAAAAAAACCCAAGAAATGCTGTCCTCAAAGATAATTAAATATTTATGGGACCAGGAGTTAACGTAATGGCTATGTTACTGAATCCCATGTAGTTGACCATGGTTCAAGTCCCAGACCAGGTGGCTTAAATTCATGCCAGGTGCGTGTGCATGCATGCCCAAGATCCTGAGAGAGAATGGAGAAGGGATTGAGGCATGGCCATTCCCCCTGGGGGGTGATTTCTTGCTTTCTCTATGTCTGTCTCTCTCGGTCTTTCTGACGAGTGCACGCGCCCTAGAGCAAAAACCTCTCTCTCTCTGTCTCAAAAAAAAAAAAAAAGATAATTAAATATTTAAAGCCTAGACATATAGACTCATAAATAAATAACTTAAGTGGCAGTCCAGTGCTTTAACCACTATGCCACTTGCTAACCCCTTAACTAGTCTGTTGTAAGGGGCAAATGATATATGCTATTGATACAGACCTGTAACAAAACCGACTCATGAAAACAGGAGGGCGAAAAACAAGTAGGAGGGTGAATTTTTCTTTTTTTCACTACCACTCTTCTCAGATCTACAAGCAACAAGCACATGCCTATTAGCTGTATGTTACTGAGGAATCTACTCATATTACTCATTTTCCTCTTCCTTTTACTTCAGCTATTAAAAAATAAAGATCTCGGTAATTTGTTTCCCAATTACTAGGATTTAAGCAGGGACATGTTGGGACAGCCTGGATGAAAACAGTTTACTTGTAGAAAACTTTAAATAAAACTTCAAAGTTATCATAATAAAAAAGAACCCATTATTTAAGTTACTTCATTATTGAAATAGAATCTTACACTTCTGGGTCCTTTATTTTAAATTTAGTACTTTATTATCTGGGCATTACATAAGCATACAACAGTAATATGATCCTTTTGATGCCACTTACCTACGAGAAAGAGCAGTGTTGTTACATTGCATTAACCTAAGAGAACCTTTCCGAAATGGAAAAAAAAGAAAAAAGATTTAGTTATTGAGAGACAGGTAAAAAGATTAAGTTTAATTCTAAATCCAATACCTTTTTTTGGATAGCATGTGCCATATGTATATTACTCTGTTGAACATGCACACTTAGAACGGCAAAGACCATATATAGTGGAAAACGGCCCACCACATACAGAAAGGCTGTGCACGGGACAGCCTGTGGAGTGATGGCTGAGGTGGCTGGATCCCACATGGCTGGCTGCATGGTTTGAGTGCCGGGCCCATGGGTTTGAAGAACACACTGGGTGTATGTGCAGGCATGCCCAGATTCCAAAAGAAGGGAAAAATGGAGAAGGGATGGAGAAGGGATTCCCCATGGAGGGGGAAGGGAGGGAAGGGGGGAGGAGAGATAAGGAAAGAAGACAGAAAAAAGGCTAACAGCCAGCTTTCATCTTGGCAACCAAAGGTTTTTTCTTTTCTTTTTTTTTTTTTAAGAGGTTTTTGCTATAGGGTGCATGCGCTCCCCAGACAGAGAGACAGCAAGCGAGAAATCACCCCCCAGGGGGGATGGCCACGCCGCAACCCCTTCTCCTCCATTCTCCTCTCGGGATCTTGGGCACGCACGCACACCTGCCCACACGCCCAGTGTGAGTTTAAGCCACCGGGTCCGGGATGTGAAACGTGACCAACTACATGGGAGTCCAGAGACATAGCCATTACGCTAACTGCTGTCCTGGCAACCAAAGGTTTTCATTAGCAAAACAGGTCTAGTAGATGGTTAACAACTAATGGAGTTTGCTCTGTATTCTGCTTAAAGTGACAAAGTGAAAGACAATCTATGAAGTTATGATGGCCTCTAAGAAATACATGATCCTAGTCTGGAGAGAATTTGGACTTCTGGTATTTTCTTATAATAGATTCAGCAAGTATTGACATTGGGAGTCATTACTGTATCAGATTAGCCAGCAAAAACTAAGTGGTAATAAACTTTCAGGCAAAAGAAAAATTAAGTAGCCTAGTGGATTAGCAGATACCTACTTTACTTTCATAAATTAGTGTTTGCTATATGGTGTGTGTGCTTGGCAAAGGGTGAGAAATCACCCCCCTAGTGGGGACAGTTATGCCACAGACCCTTCTCCTTTGGTCTTCTCCCAGGATTTTGGGCATGTATTATGCCCGCACCCAGCATGATCTTTTTTTTTTTTTTCCCCCCAGCATGATTTTCAAGCTGCTGGGTCTGGGACTGGAACCATGCAATTGGCTATGTGGGATCCAGTTGCTTTAATCCTTAACACATCTGCAGACCCCACTTTTTTTTTTTGTAAAGTTTCTTTCTGGGACCAGCAGATGGTATAATGGTTATGTTGCTGGACTCTCACATAGTCAACTGCAGTTTGAGTCCCAGACCTGGCAGCTTGAAACTCACGCCGAGTGCATGTGCGTGCGTGCCCAAAATCTCGAAAGGAGAATGGAGGAGGGATTGTGGTGAGGCCATCCCCTCTGGGGAATGATTTCTTGCATTCTGTCTCTCTGGTGAGCTCAAGTACCCTATAGCAAAAAACTCTAAAAAAAATAGTTTCTTTCTTTCATGAGAGTGGAAGACAGAGAGAGAGACAGAGAGAAATCCAAGCACTGTCATCAGGGTCTCATAAATGACAGCTCCCTACCAGACCTCCAGACAGGAACATGGGCACATGTACCAAGCACTTACAGGCTGACCAGGGAACCAAATTTACCATTCTCCATATAGATCCAGCACTGCTTGAACAGCATACCACCCCGTGCCACCAAGTCAGCCCCACTTTTACTTTTTTATGTTAATACTCCCCTAGATAGCTTTATAGCTGCTTTTCATTGATTTTTCAAGTATTTCCACACAAAATGCTTTTTAAAAATAAAGGACAAATCATAACAGTAGTAATACCTATCATTCTATGAGCATAAATAGGTGAAATATTAGAAGTAGATAGAAGTCAATCCTTGTTGTAGTAAATACAAAGTTACAAATCTACTAAATTTCCAAAATCAAAGATGCCTCTTAACTTTTAATAGCTACAGATATGTTAGCAGATTGAGCCTTGGGTGTATCTAAGTTATAGAACAATCTAATATTAAAGTAAACTTTACATTTTAAGGAGATGTTATCTTCTTATGAATTCCTAAACTGATGTAGCTAAGAAAAAGCACAGACTTAACACACACACACACACACACACACACACACACACACACACACAGCTTATGGAAAGGAAATCTTGTGCTACAAAGTAACTATCTCGAAACTCACTGTTACCATTTTTTACCCAATTATCATAAAGAAACTAGTTCTCAGATTCTGCATACAGACAGCTTTATGTAAAATATATAAACATTTGTCCAAATTGGTACACAGATTGCATAAATATGGCAATTAAGATCGCATTTACAGATGTGCATGTACAATGCTGTGCAAAGTATCACAATATTACAATTTCAAAAATTATTCAAATTGATATCCAAGTAAAGCAATTAGTGAAAAAATACCCATGCAGAATTTAAATATCTCAGAACAAAATTTAAAATGTCTTCATTAAAAGTTCACACATTTAAAATAGTTTTATTCATTTTATTTGTATATGTCAAAATACATTTTTATTTCCAAAATAGTGGGTTTTGCAACTAGTTTCATGCAGAAACAAGGTCTGCTCAATACTACCAATAAAATCAATATAGCACAGTAGCTGTTCAGTTTTAGATACAAAGAATAAATAACCTAAATACAAAACACTAAAATATTAGAAACATGTATTTAATCATCCTTCACAGGCATCCAAACATCACAAATAGAAACCATAGCATGCCTAACTGTTGCGCAACCAGGACACGTTGCAGTCCCTCAAACTGTCCAACTATCTGCATATTTTACCTCCACATAAGACCATGGAAATTCTCTATATTCAGACCCACCATTCATACAGCTCAAATATAACCAAAAATATAATTCCCACATCTATCCTTGTACCTTTAAATCAAGAATCCTGAGCTTGGTAGTAAGAGCATAACCTTATATCTTCATAAAACCAATCAAGAGAGGACTTAAAATCCTGCTTACCAAAACACCATTCCCCAACCCCAAAGTAATCTAAAATAGGCAGTAGAACACAATGACCTTTTAAAATGAAGGGGTACAAATTCACATTTAATATAGTATACAATACAATCAATAATACAATCAGCTACTATAAGCTTTACAATTTATTCAAATGGCTGAACTGTTCAGTGGTTAAGGAGACAGTTATGTGCCAGAATGATGTAATATTTTTTGCATGGTTTAATGAAAATATAAAAGCTATTTGTCCAAATAAAAGCCATTTTCACTATGTACTTGGTTTTGCTTTTTTTCTCTTTTTTTTTTTTTTTGTAAAAAAAGGCCACTGAAATGTATAAAATGGTCTGAACATGATGGTGGTATCAAAGTCGGTGCCTCTTCACATGGCAATAACAGTGCATTTAACATTAACTCACGGGTTAAGTCTGCAAATGATTTCATAGCATTACTTTGGCTAGCACAACAGTTTTAGACAGCACTCAGATAAATATAGGTATGTGAAATGTGAAGCAATTATCTTATGCAACTTTAATTATGGTTGAACACTATCAAATGAAAACAAAATAAAAGTAAAAGCACTTTACAGTAGAAAACTTTTGTAAAGATAGGGCTCCACAGAATGTGTAACTTTTAAAGTCTTTACATCACATTGTTAGCAAAGTTTGTTTTTAACACTATCGTGGAGTAGCCTACTTTGCATTAACAGACATTTGAAATAAGAAAATAGTCAAGCATGCCATGTGGTGTTCTAAAAATCAAAACAATACACTTATTTATATATACAGCATCACTCAGTACCTGCTAAAATGAATGTGAAGATACAGAACCTAACATCTTACACTACAACAATAAAAAACAAAAACAACGAAAAAGTGACCAATGAAGGCAGAAAATAGGACTTAAAGGATCTAATCTCAATGGACTTTAAAGCATTCATATAAGAAACAAATGCGTATTGCACAAACAGTGAAAGCAAATGTTCCACCAAGCAATTCAGTTCCAGGTGGGAGACAATACATTATTAGTCTAATACATGACAAAAGTTTCAGAAGAGCAAGTGTTTTTTTCTGTAAATGAAATAGCTGTGAAAACATAGAAGACTCTGCCACATGAAGAGAGAGAAGAAAAAAATACAAACCCAAACTTAGATGTAAAGCAAAAAAAAAAAAAAAAAATTAAATATTGAAAAACTGGAAACTGTGGCACATCAAAAAATGTTGAATAACTGTCTTCTGTGAGAGCTGAAAGTTTTTGTTGACACAAAGTATTTATGTACAACTAAGGCTTACTGGTTAAATATCTGAGGCATATCTGGCCTTGAACACTTTCCTTATATGCTGGAGCTGTAAACAAGTTTTCGCAGTCATTTAAACAAAAAAAAAAAAAAAAAAGAAAAACAAAAACAAAAAAACCCCACATCTTCTCAGCAGCTGCATTAACATGAAACAATGGTCTTGATTTAAAAATAAAACAAACAAAAAAACCAACCCAGAAAACTGAACGAAACAAAAATCCTAGATAAGAGGGCATTTGGCAGGATATCTGAATATGACAGTCTCCAAGGAGTCTTCTCTGGCTTCCAGTGACTGCCAATTATGGTCCACTGGGTTACTAACATGTGCAATTCCATTACTTGCTGCCTTGTTTTTTTTTTTAATTATTATTTGGAAAGTTTGCTTATAACTCGGATCAAAGCCCCATTTTCATCCTTTAGCCTCTGGTTGTCTGCTTTTAGGTCTGGTAACATCTATGAGGGAAAAATAAAAGAAAAAATTCGCTTTAAAAAAAGACAAAACATTATTTGTAATAAATGTTATCATTTTCACCACAAAACACATGATCAAACTTTTGTCAGTTACATACATTGCTAGTGTCTAAAAACTCACCCTGATTTGTGAAGCTAATTATTTTAATAAATGATGAAATAAAGGTATATGCTCTCAAAATTATCCATTGAAATTTACTAAATAACTTTATTTTAGGACTCACTAGCATACCATATTAGAGCAGCCAAGAATATAAAGCCTGTTTCTGTTAGAATAGGATCTTTTCTTTTTTTCCTTTGGAGAGGTTTTTGCTATAGGGCATATGCGCTTGCCAGAAAGACAGAGACAGAGAGATAGAAAGTGAGAAATCATCCCCCAGAGGGGATGGTCACACCACAATCCCTTCTCCTCCATTCTCCTCTCAGGATCTTGGGCATGCATGCACATGCGCCTGGCGTTGAGTTTAAGCCACCGGGTCCGGGACTCAAACCACAGTCAACTACATGGGAGTTCAGTGACATAGCCATTACTCTAACTGCTGGTTCCTAGAATAGGATTTTTAAAAAAGCCAACACAACTATTTAATTAATTAATTAAATTCCATTTATTTTTATTTTTTAAATTTTGACTGGACAGGGAGAGAGAGACAGAGATAGGAAAAGTGAGAAAACAAGCCACCAGGTCCATGCCCTTAACTGTGGTCAGCCACGTGGCAACCCAGTGTCCTCAACCACCACGCCACCTGTCAGCCCTGAGAATAGGTACTTAAAGGGAGTTCCTTTAATAGATCTTATCAGATCCAAACCAAAGTATTTTGGGGTTCATTCAGGTCTAAAACCATAATAGTTAATACTGTTCTATGAGAAAATCAGCCTATTTTGGGAAGTTTGGAGTTAAACTTGTTCTAAATTATGAAAATCCTTTAAAGGAGTCATGTACATACCTAAGTTTAGATGTCTACTACCATGTCTGATCTATTAGGTGCTCATTAACTGGTAACAAAGCAATTAGCATCATTATTAGAATAGTATAAATTAATTTTCAAGCTAATGTAGTAAATCTGTATCTATATAAACATTCCAGTATAAAAAATTAACCAGTATTTGATTGAAGCAAATAGAAAAACACATCTCTATCTCCTTAAAACGACTCAATTTTTTGTTGCTTTACAAGACAAATTGAAGAAGAGGGTAACAGTGTTACAAGTTAACTGAATTTTCTCAGAATAATTAAAATTACATAAGCTTTTTCAGGTTCACTAGGACATAGAATGTCTTATATTTTGGATATATTAAACCATACTTTCCAAAATAATCACTCCTCTTTCTTTTCTTTTTTTTTTTTTTCACTCCTCTTTCTTCAGCTTTCAAAATGTACTAGATTATTTAATTACATAAATGTAAAAACTTCTACTCGCAAGGGCTGGCAGGTGACGTGGTGGTTAAGGGTGATGGACTACCACATGGCCGACCATGGTTTGAGTCCTGGACTTGGCAGCTTGCTTTCTCATTTTCTGTCTGTCTGTCTCTCATTCGGTCCCTCTCTGCTCAAATTAAAATAAATAAATAAAGTTAAAATAAAATAATTTAAACAAAATAAAACAAACTTCTATTTGTAAAACTACCTCAATCAAAAATTTTTAGGAACTTTAATTTTATGTGGAACCAATAAATTCTTATCTGTGTTCAGAACAATTAGATATAAAATATAGTAATCTGCACTTTATGTATTAGGGTAACTGTAATAGAGTACAAGAGAACATAAATTAAGGTGGCTCTGACTGGAAAAATTATATTACTTTGAAAAACAGATAATACATACTTGAGCTTCAAAATGTACTAATTATATCTAAAATATATGTTATACTGGTTATTGTTCTCTTTTCTTTCTAGTAAAGAATTATAAATAAATAAATAAATAAATAGGCACAGTTAGTGTGGTGCAGAAGGAATCCAGTGCCTGGCAAGGCTGGAAGTCACAGAGCCGACCATGCACGCAGATACCTGGGTCCCACCTGCAAACATGCCAGGTGCACGAGCAGGCACCCAGGATCCAGAGGAGCTGGAAGGCTGGGGAAGGAGGATCGTGGCATGACAAAATCCTGTTGAGGTATCTTTTCTCTGTCTATTTCTTTCTCTCATGCACATGCTATTATTAAAAAAAAAACTGTAAATAATAGCCGTGTTTTAAGACCTAAAATATTTGTAAAGCCAAAAATGTACCCAAGCTTTACAAAAGTGCAGACAAGCCTTTAAGTTAAATTCCCATGTCATTCCCTAATTTTATTGTAGTTTATCAGTTGCAATTTATAATTAGTAGCAGTTTCTAACATTCTGAAAAGCCATGCAAAATTAAAGTTATTATGAGAAGCTCCAGACACAATGACATTAATTTCTAAGAGTGAGTACTTACTGATACAAAAACAAAACACACTTAATTAACTAATACAAAAACACCTGCCTGGCTCTAACAAGAAGAAATGATGAAACTATAAATTATAGGTTCACAGACTGCAGTTGCCTACAGAACCCTGAGCGCTTGGCTACCACTCTTGTCAAGGCCCTATTCTCAGTCAGCAGTCGCTCATTTAACTCTCTCAGAGTTTGAATTTGCTTTATTTGGTGCAGGTTCTGCAGGAATCAGAACATAAAGAAATAGAAATAGAAAAGAGTACAATAAGAATATAAAGAATCACAGGTAATAAATATGAAAACAAAAAAACCCTTTAAGTCTTAAAAGTATATTACAAAAGCTTTAGAAAGGTAAATGGTTTATGCCTAAAATTCTATTTCAAATAAACAATAAACAAATAATGCAAAAGATTTATCTACAATCTTCAAAGTCATTCACTAACAATGGACTAAGAATAAACCAAATAATTCAGCGGTAAAACATACTACCATTAAACTTTAATCCTATGGGCATAATTTTATATGCACTAGTCCATTAATTTATAATGTGATATTCTGTGAAAGACAATGTGTTAAGAGGTAACCAATTACTTATACTACATTTTGAAAGTCTTACAAAGACTGCTCAATATTCAAAACAAATAACTATTTCTACAGGTAACATAGTTTGACAAACTACAACTCTGCCTATCCACTCCTCTAATGTCCTTTATTTTTAAACAACATAGAAATATGTAGAATTATATATGACTAAATAATAAGTCCTGCATTTTATACTTATTACAGTGTAAACTGTGTAATTTTTTTCTACAGCTGAACTGTAAGTGTTACACGAATTGATTATTATGATGATTTGGGTTTTAAATCCTCTTCAAGCTCACAGAAGCCTAGATCTAGGAAGAAAAGGAAATGTAAGATACAGACAGCTCACAAACTGGGTCATCAGCTTAATGTAGATAGTATCTATAACAGTATTATAAAGTTTAAATTAAAAAACAGCACATCTCTTATAAAGAGCATATTGTACTTACTTTGAGCTCTTCTTCCATTTCAGATATTCTTCTTTCTAGAGCTCTTCGTTCCTAGATCAAGTCAAAGTATTAATATTAATTATGTATTATTATAATCTTAACTTTTCTTCTATATGTGAAATAGTGATACTTTAGAATCAAAGATCAAATCAGGAGCAGTGTAGAAAAAGATGTGATGCCAGTGATGTGTAAAAAGCTTTCCAAAATTTGAGAGAAATCAAGATGGTTTTCCTTTTTTTTAAATTTTTTTATTTTTTTTTTAATTTGATAATAAGCTCTTTCTTTAAAGCTTTGACTTTCTGGTAAGATGCAACATAATATGTTCAAACTATTTTTCTAGTTCACATAACACATAGGGCGAGAGTAAACCAATATGCAAGGATTATATAGAAAAGGGGAAAAAAAACTCACACAATGCAAATGTAATATAGTGACAGAAGCAGGAAAGCAAGAAGCAAACATGCCTAAACTGTGTGTACTTTACAATTTCCAAAAGGATCTATGAGAAGCTCATTTCGTCCACCCACAATGTTTACCAGCCATTATTTATCCAATTGACTTTAGAGCTTTGTATTTAGGTTGCTACTGTGTGGAGCATTAATGCAGTGAATCTGATGGAGAAGCAACTGCAGCATTTACTTTAATCTTGTTTCAGAGTGACAGGCAAAGACAACACACAATACATTATTGCAGTGTACTGTTCTATACTCCCTTAAATGATAAGCGTTCTAGGGTGTTATGCAAAAAGCAAGCAGCAGTAATTGATGAGCTGTAAAACTGGTTAGGTCATACCGCCCAGGAGATACTGACTCTTGCCGGTCACCTTTCAGATACAAACCATTTAAATTTAGTTTAATCACACTGATGCTATTTCCAAGACATTTTCCCCCAGATTACTAATTAAATGTTGATATTTAGTAAAGCAGTACATTTACTGTAAATGTTAATGTTTGTAAGGAACATGACTTAAAAAATAGCTGAAATCCTTCATAGTCTTATAAGTATGATGTTATTCTAATATTGGCATGCTTAAGCATTGTTACATAGACAAAGATGTTATTTTCTATATATAGACTAGTTAATAATACAGCCATAACAAATTCATATGAACCATTTAATATGAATTTTAACAAGGCTATTTCATACTTAGAGCCCACAGAACATTATAAAGAAGTTAAGCTATAAAATATATTCATTCATTACACTAATGTTAATTTCATCTAAATTATAATTCATATAAACCACTGTATTTATTAAGACTAGCACACAGTGTCGTATCTGATACTTACGCCATTGTGAAATATATAAAAAAGCTTATTAAACATTAAAAAAATATGGTTAAGAGAAAATGCACATAAAGTACTTAGCTCAGTGCTTATGGTTAAGAGAAAATGCACATAAAGTACTTAGCTCGGTGCTTGCTTGATATATAGAGAATGCTGAATAAATGCTAGTAGTTAATACTAACTGTAATGGTGTTTATTGGGAGTGAATTAGCCACTTTGTTATTTATCTGCATTTAACAAGTATGAAAAGGAAGTGAGGTGAAATTGTCAGAATATGAACACGTGTCCATCATGTGTGAGTATAAACACAGAAAAAGAGGGCAGGTACCAAAATATCAGGCATCTCTGTATGACACATAAGGACAATTTTATATTTTCTTTTTGTGATAATTTTTGTAATGAACATACATTACTTTTTTTGAGAGATTGTTAGAGGGTGTATATACTCGCCAGAGAGACAGAGAGAAAGAGAGTGAGAAATCAACTCCCCCCAGAGTGGATGGCCATATTGCAGTCCTGTCTCCTCCATTCTCCTCTACAGATTTTGGACATACATACATATGTGCCTGGTGTGACTGTCAAGCTGCCAGATTCAGGACTCAAATCACACTTGGCCATGTGGGAGTCCAGTGACTTAATCACTATGCCATCTGCTGGCCCAACATGTACTACATTTGTAAGATAAGTGTTCTTCAAAAATGTGGTACTGTTTCAAAAATAAGTATTTTGGGGCCAGCAGGTGGCCTGGTGGTTAAGGCCCTGGACTCCCACATGGTCAACTGTGGTTTGAGAACTGTGTCTGGCATCTTGGTATCTCACTTTCCTTCTCACTCTCTCTGTCTCTCTCTGGTGAGCACACATGTCCTATGCTTTGTTATCTCTATCTTTCATCTGCACCATGAGTATGGATAATAATGAATTGATTTTTGCATACCTTGGAGATAAAATCCTGTAAGTTAAATGTTGTAACAGGATATAACAATGAACATTAAATTTAATCAAATAAATGATTCTATTTTTAGCAATAGTTATACCACTTACAAAATTACTTAAAATACTAATGTTTGCAAGTTGCTGAAATAAAACGGTAACTATTGCAAGGTGCAATTTAGTAAATGGTATAAATAGCAACAGATTATATTTACTTTTTTTTTTTAATTCTGTATGCTTTACCATTTTTTTTTTCCAGATGAAAAAGGCAGTTTATTTAAAAAATGAGATGAATGAAAAATGTGTTTATATCAACTGCTCCTGATTATTTATTCTTTGTTCTACAGATCATAGCTACTGCGATGGGACTTCTTCTCTGGAACTTGTGTCTAGCTACTACTCAGCTGTTGACACCTACAGACACCTTTGGAGTATTTCTTCATTAACTTTGGGATGGTGTATACAATATCAACTGTTCAGATTAAACTTGTGGAAAATTCCAAGGCCACTTCTAGACCCCGACCAATAGTAAGTGGAGAGAAATATAAGTAAATATATTATAGCTAATAAAAAAAAATTGTAGGAAGACATAAAAGGCCATAAGATTTTCTAATAATAATTTTTTTGTTTAAAATACCTTACTTAAGTTAAATATTTAAACTGAAAATTAAAATATTACTAAATTAAGAAGAATTTGAAAATTTGATACTCCCTTATTTAAGAACTTTAAGAATAAAAGCACAGGGATCAGCAAATGGCGTAAATGTTTATGTCGCTATACTCCCCCCCACATGGACTGCGGTTTGAGTCCCGGAGCAGGTGGCTTAAAACTCATGCCAGATGTACGTGCAGGCATGCCCAAAATCCTGAGGGGAGAATGCAGGAGCAGCCATCCCCCCTCGGGTGTAATTTCTCATTTTCTGTCTGTCCCACTGGTGAGCACAGATGCTCTATTAAAAAAACAAATCAAAACAAAACCAAAAAACTCTTTAAAAAAAAAAAATGGGGAGGGGGCGGTCAGCAGAAAAAATATAGTTAGGTAATGGACTCCCACATGGCCGAATGTGGTTTGGATCCCAGACCTGGTGGCTTGCTTTTACTTTCCCTTTCTCTCTCGTTGTCTCTCTCTGGTCAAATTAAAAAGAAATAGAATAAATCTTTAAAAAAAAAAGACAGTATTTTAATTTTGGAAAGAATTAAATGCATATGTAACTAAAAATACTAAATTCACTATTGCTTTCTGTACATTTCAGAATAATGGCAAGATAATTTTTTAAAAATTCATTAAAACAATAATCTGGTGAATTAAATCTTAATAAGGTTGCTTCATACCTGCAGACTCATGGAACTTTATAAGGAAGCTAATCTACGATATGTACTTATTAATTAAATGAATATTATACTATCATTACATGTATCATTATAAGAAAACAAAACAAAAACCTACCATTGCTTACACAAAATAAAGGAAAAAAATTGATTACTTATTGAAAAATATTCACACTTACCCTTTTTTCCATTTCCAACAGTGACCTATCTGCAAATCTTTCTTGTCTCTGTAACAAAGAAATTATAAAAGGGAAGTAGATGCAATAACAATTGGGGTGGGAGAGCAGAACCTTAGCCATGCTACTGTGTGTCAAAAGAAGGCACAATATTCTGGGGGAGAAATACACAAGTGTGAGAAAAAGAAAGAAAAAACAAGATTTGTATTGAAATAATGAAGGCAAAAGGAATCTTTAGAAATAGAAAGGTATCCACAGCTCTCATCTTATGGTCCATATGATTTTCCCCAGGAATTTTCATAGCTTAGTTGAGAGTGAGTGTGATGTAGTAAGTACTATTAAACAATAACGAAGGCACCCTAATATTTCCTCAGATGCCTAAGTTCTCTCCTCCTCTCCTGTACCAATAAAAGTGGGTATTCTGAATGGTCAGACTCTAGGATATTAATTGAAATGTGTTTATTACTAGGTTGAGTGACTTGGCACCATAGAGGCAGATTAGAAAATTGGCCACAGCTATGTTGGTCCTCACTTCTCTAGAATTTTCTTTTTCCAATTATCCATTCTTTCACAATGCTCCAAAATTGGTTCATACCCACTTTCACTTGTAAACAGTACTAGCTGTATATCTTTCTTGGTGAGCTCAAGCCTCTCATTTATTCTTCTTCCTGTACTATGTGACCAGCTCAAAACTGATAAAATCCTCAGGTGTGAGCTTGGCTTTGGGTGGATGGAAAGGACCTTGGGCTGTAACCTATAAGTTACACCTTACACTACAGAGTCCTATAGCTAAATATTGAGCTCAAGAACAATTAAAAACAAGTGGGGGGGCAGCAGGTGGCTGGTGGTTAAGGGCATTGGATTCCCACGTGCCCGACCACAGTTCAAGTCACCTGCTGGCTTGCTTTCTCATTTTCCCTTTCTCTCTGGTCAAATTTTAAAAAATGGTAATAACAAATGGAATTAAATAAACAAATAAATCTTTTTCTTTTTTTGAGAGGTTTTTGCTATAGGGTGTGTTCACCAGACAGACAGAGAGAGAGAGACAAAAACCGAGAAATCACCCCCCAGGGGGAATGGCCACACCGCAATCCCTTCTCCACCATTCTCCTCTCGGATCTTGGGCACACACGCGCCTGGCCTGAGTTTAAGCCACAGGGTCCGGGACTCGAACCGCGGTGGACTACATGGGAGTCCAGCGACATAGCCATTACGCCATAAAAAAGAACGCCTTTTGTGGTTACTAACCACAAAATGTACTTAAAAACTAAACAAAACAAAATGCAAAACCCACATCATTGGTAAAGCACAATTTCACTGTTAGACATGGTAATTTAAAATATATTTCATTACTAGGTCCAGCAGGTAGTGTGTTGGTTGAGGCGCTGAACTCCCACATGGCTGATTGCAATTGGAGTCTTAGACCTGGTAGCTTGCTTTCTCTCTACCCTCACTCCCTGTCTCTCTTTGGTGGGTGTGCATGCACTGTAACTAAAAAATAATAATAATAAATAAAATTAAATAACTGATTCTTTAAAAAATATTTCATTATAAATTAGAAACATGTTCTCATTTTCCAACACTTTTAGCATTCGTGATTTAGCATCTTTAGGACTTGTAACCAAGTTACCTTTCCTTAAGCACATGTATTTATTTCTTGAGGTGGGGGCGGCAAGTATACCCCCAACAGGATCTTTATGCCATAAACCTAGCCTCGGTGCACTGGTGTGTACAGGGAGACCTTGGAAGATGAACCTAGGCCCTTCCCTCACATCATAGAGCACTGAATTACTAGTTACTGCTAATTCACTAAGGCTGGCCCATAAGCAAGTTACAGTAAATCCCATCACCTGAAGGAATCTTACAACCTCATAAGGTTTGTCTGATGTTTGGAATTTTAACATGCTGCTCACTATGCATAGACAATTGTTTGACAACACAATAGCAGTTAACAAAAAGTGGTTAACAAAACAAAAAACAATCTGATAATATGTGTAAGTCCAGCATAGCAAATTAATTTAAAAAAAATTTAAAGTATAAAGACTAAGAGCAGTATGCAGTCTCATTCATAGAACTGATATGCCATTTTATCTGATTATTTCTTAAAGTTTCTTCCTTTCATGAGAGAAAGAGTAGGGAGGGAGACAAAGAGACAGGCACCCCTAACAGGATCTCCATATCATGATCCACCCTGGGACTCAGCCAGCCTGATCATAGGCACAGACTTAGGGAGGTTCTGGGAGATAAACCCAGGACCTTCCCCAGGGTAGGTCTGTGCCGCTGCCTGGTCTTGGATATGCCATCTTGGAGCTGTTGTTCAAGTTGGATTCTGAGAGTTATGCTGGAGAAATAAGTTTATCTTAGAAAGTCCCATGTAAAAGAGACAAGTTTGCTTTCCTAAAAATCACAGCACCAATAATGTATAAATAGATCCTATAAAATCTCCAAGATACGATGTGTAGCATTTCCCAAGTTTCTTTGATCAAAAAGCCTAGGAGCAGGCAGGGCACATGTGCGTTAGCTGATGATCCAGGCTGGCTGTGACCAGGGATAGACTGTCAAGAGAACCCGTTAGGTACCTTTTCTACAAAATAAACTAAAAAAAAAAAAAAAAAACAAAAAAACAAACAAAAAACAAAAAACAAAAAAAACAGAAAAAAGAGTTATAATTAACTTCTTCTAGCACTACTATACCAAATCACTTTTACTTGAATAAACAAGAAATATTAATACTAAACAAAAATTATTATAAAGAAAATTTTTATGGCTCTAAGATGATTCTGTATAGATGCTTTTAATACTTGGCTACATTTGTGATATGCTCAAAATAAGGACTTAAATTATCATGTACCAAAACAGTAGTATTAAAGAGTTTAATAATACCTTAACTTTTGATTATAAGGCTGTATTTTTGTACCTTTATTTTACTCCAGAAAAAAGTAAATAAAATTATTGGTAAGCTTCATTATCTTGATTCCTTTATTATGATAAGCTATTATCAATAACCAAACTTCTGTTTAGAAAGAACTAATACTAGAGAAAATTTCATTGCAATTTTTTAGGCAGAATAAATCACAACCATTACGAGTTAGGAAAAGAAACAAAGAGTACAAACCTGGGTGGCCTTTTCCAACTGCAATTTAAGATCTGTTAGTTCCATATTTGTATCATGTAGCTGTGCCTTCAGTTTTTCATTTTCAGCTAGAATTTGTTCATAAAGCTATAAAAATCAGAGTAAAAGAACAAATTACTTTTCTGCTCTCCTAGTATTTTAAGATTTCTTATTGATTACCTTGTACTATTAAAAGAGAAAGATCAATGTAGTGTATGAGCTATAAAAGTTACATTAAAATATATTTTAATGCGGGACCTGCAGTTAGCATAATGGCTATGTCGCTGAACTCCCATGTAGTCGATCAGGGTTCAAGTCCCAGACCTGGTGGCTTAAACTCAAGCAGGCTGCATGTGTGTGTGTGTGTGCCCAAGATCCTGAGAGGAGAATGGAGGAGAAGGGATTGTGGCGTGGCCACCCCCCCCGGGGGGGTGATTTCTCGTTTTCTGTCTCTCTCTCTTTCTGGTGAGTGCACGTGCGCTATAGTAAAGAAAACTCCTCCTCCCCCAAAAATATTTTAATGTTTTTGGTTGTGCAGAGACTGTTGTTTTCATGGGTATGCTTGGTCCTACACAAATTCTTAGAAATTAGTTCCACAGGAACCAGCAGATGGAATAATGGTTATATAGCTAGATCCACATAGCCAACTGCAATTCAAGTTCCGGATGCATTGGCTTAAACCTCACATGGGGTGTGTGTGCATGTGTGCCCAAAATCCCAAGAGGAGAATGGAGATGGGATTGTGGTGTGGCCATCACCCATGCTCCCCCCCTCAGAGTGATTTCTCGCTGTCTGTCTTTCCCATGAGCACACACACTCTCTTAAAAAAAAAAAAAAAAAATTAGTTCTAATATTTTCAATTTAAGACTTTATTTTTTAAAAATATGACTTTTAGGTTATCTTACAAAAAAGATTATCTAGTAACAAGGGACTGTATACCTTCTTTTTTTTTGAGAGGTTTTTGCTACAGGGCACATGTGCTCACCAGAAAGACAGAGACAGAGAAACAGAAAGCAAGAAATCACCCCCCAGGGGGGATGGCCACGCCGCAATCCCTTCTCTTCCATTTTCCTCTCAGGATCTTGGGCACGCACGCACACGTGAGTTTAAGCCACCAGGTCCAGGACTCAAACCACGGTTGACTACATGGGAGTCCAGCGACAAAGCCATTATGCTAACTGCTGGTCCCCAAGGGACTGGTATCCCTACAAGAGCAGAGCAACTTCTTCTGGAGCAAAAGAGTCACTGTGATTTTTTTTCCTTCGGCATTTGTGAGTTTTTCTACTTATTATTTGATCTTGAATTCCTCCAAATGAGGTGGAATATCAGTTACAATATCATACTTCTATTGCTTAGAGTCAAAAGGCAAGTGAAAATCTTAGACCATTTCCTTTTCTCATTTTTTTCTTTCTCAACACTTGGATGTACTGTTCCCTCCACATCTCTGCTACTTCCACTATAATCCTGGCTATAAGAATCTCTTGTCTAGACTATTCTAATATCAGAACTGTTTTCCCTGACTTCCCACTAATCTGTTACATAGATAATTTTTCAAGATGAAAATCTCTCACAAATTAAATTGGCTAAAATGGCTTCCCAATATTCTTTGAATACAGACACTTTAAGATGGTCTGTAGGGAACTTCATGATCTGGTCCCAGCCCAACCTTCTAGCTGTAGCCTCACACAGCTTATTCCCTCCACTCTACTAGCTTTATTAAAAATGTGATTATTCCGGGACCAGCAGTTAGCGTAATGGCTGTGTCGCTGGACTCCCACGTAGTCGACCACGGTTCGAGTCCCGGACCTGGTGGCTTAAACTCACGCCGGGTGCATGTGCGTGCGTGCCCAAGATCCTGAGAGGAGAATGGAGAAGGGATTGTGGTGTGGCCGCCCACCCTGGGGGGTGATTTCCTGCTTTCTGTCTCTCTGTCTCTCTCTGTCTGGCGAGCGCACACGCCCTATAGCAAAAACCTCTCAAAAAAAAAAATGTGATTATTCCAATGCATCACATAACCCTCCCATCACCAGGTCTATGTACTTGCAGTTCATGCCATCTGGAATTCTATTCTCTTCCTTTTGCCAGTTAATCATCTTTCTGTTCATGGTTAAAAGCTCATTTCCACAGGAAACTTATCTACAGGTGCATCACTTTCTTTTGTTATATACTTAAAAAATTATTTCTCTACTTCAGGGTAAATGTCTTTTTTTTATTATTCAATATTACTTAGTATTATTATTATTATTTTAAAATTTTCTATAGTGCACATGCACTCACCAGGGAGAAAGAAAGAGAGAGAGAGAGAGAGGAGAGAGGAGAGAAGAGAAAGGAGAGAGGAGAGAGGAGAGAGGAGAGAGGAGAGAGGAAAGAGAGGAAAGCAAGCTGTCTGGTCCAGGACTTGAACTGTGGTCAGCTATGTGCGAATCCAACGCCCCAATCACCACGCCACGGGCTGGTCCCAATGTCTCTTTTAAAAAATATACTCATTGTATGATAATGCCACTCTCTTACTACATGAAAACTGCCCATGAGAGCAAGATCTAATCTCCATCTCATGGGAAAATGCCCAGAAATAGAATCTCACTACTTAGCACAGTTTAATGTTCAGTTCTTTACTTACTCATAATGTAAAACAACTCTCCCAGCTTTCCCCACCACTCTCTCGCTCTCTTGGTTTATAAGAAGGTACGTAAGTCAAATAGCTGCCAGATACCTGGGGACATGTGCAAATACTACAAGCTCTCTTTTTTTCTAACAAACTTCATCAGGTTTATTCTAAGCTCAGGAAATGAAGAATCATGACAGAATCCTAGATTGTTGAGTTTCTTACATTTATTTCTTAATTACCTCTATCCTTAATCCTTAATGGCCTGAGACACTCAAAAGCGAAATAAAGTCTTGGATACTTTTCTCTTTCCTTAAAAAAAAAATAAAATCAATCTAACAGCTATTTTCCACTACTAACAAAAGTTGAAAATGAAGCTAAGTTATTTCAAAATACTGATTTTGTTATGAGTATTTTCCAGGATATTTGATTATAAATATCTCGACACAAAATATAACTCATTTTTATTTAAATTTAACTAAAAAGTGCAAGTACCTTTTTAAAGTCAGTTGAGTCATCCTTTTCTAGCCTGCTACTGTAAGGTTTTCTTTCTTCTAAGTAGCTGTATGATCCAGAGCGACCCAACAAGGAATCATACCGATCACTAGCTGATGTGGAACTGGTTTCATACCTTCAAAAGATGAGTTTAAATTAAAATCTTTATTATAGGTTTACATGACTTACATTGCATATATCCTAGTATATATGAAAACAGGAAGTAACAGTCTCCTTCATCTATTACCTAATGAATTTCGTATGCACGTACAAGAGAGAGATAATAAATGAGAACTATGTTTATACAACTGACTTTTAATATTTGAGAAAAAGATTCAAAATTTCCATCTCTAGAAATCAAAACTGGTTTTACATTATGATAAATTATTTCAACAATTTAAAATTACAACTTCACCCCCCACATTTTTAACATCTCTGAAATTAGAACATGGCTTATAACTGACAGTATATCATATAGCATCTTCCCTTTAAGTGTTATGTCTTAAAATTAGGAACATCTTAGATTTGATGAAATACGAGTTCTCAAAAAGTTCATAAGAACATGTATTATGAAAAACATATGTGTGGATTCAAAATTATTTTTGTCACAAAATAAATTCACACTTTAATTCCATTTCCATAAATTCTGAAGCACCCCCACACTAGCACTTCATTAACAACAGAAACAGCTGTATAATGTATCTACAGTGAAAGATGATAAACAGGAAGAACGATATTATTTGCAAATGAGAATGCTCCTCTCTTCTGGTTCTGAACTCTAGTTATCTTACATTGCCTCAATACATTCTAATGAAATAGAATCACCAGCACACAAAAATTTATTTTTGGTCTTATAGGGCTTTGTTTAATAATTTGGTACATGACCAATGGAATGGATATCAGATTCTATCAGATTCAAGGATCTAGTGGAGGGTCTCTGAAAAGATGAACAATTTTCAAGCGAGGTGATACTTTTTTTCTTATGTCTAAAGCAGGGCTAAGGGAGAAGATTCCAAATACCTAATCAAATAGACTTCTGGTTAAGGGTGCATTTCATTTGTCCCTAATATTAACCATGAGATAGTCAATGCTGAAGTAACTTAGGAAACTCTGGAAAATTTAAGAAGTTACCACCGTTATAGGGGATCTTTGTTAGTGACTTAGTACGACTAGTGCACTAGAAGCAAAGCCTTTAACAAAGAAAGCTGCTAACAGTGATAAGGTGATCTGAGTGTCTATAGATTCTTATTACCAAAATAATTCTGTAAGCTTACAAAACCCACTGTATCTAACAATATATTTTTAGTAAAGATGAAAATAAGCAAAAGGATGATAAAGGAAAAAGTAAAACATACCTGGAAATGGAATCCGTCTACAAAGAAGAAAAAATAAACATAGGTATACTAAAAAAAATTTTTTAAGAATTACTTTATTTAATTTTACTCATTGTCATTATTTTATTTTATTTTTTTAAGTTGACCAGACACACACACACACACATACACAGAGAGAGAGAGAGAGGGAGAAAGTGAAAAAGCAAGCTGCCAGGTCTGAGACTCAAACCACTGTCAGCCGTGTGGGAGACCAGCTGCCTAACCACCATGCCACCTGCCAGCCCAGTATACTAAATTTTTATGCTGTCATTAAACTATTAACTTATGATGGATCAAGTAAACTTCATATAACACTGACATTGTTTCCATATCATTAAACTAACTTATCTATTCACTTTATGTGCTTTAATTTTTTATTCTTGCCAGAGGATGCATGTGCTTACGCAAGAGAGAAAAAGCAAAAGCACTCCTCAAAGGGTTGAGGTCATGCCACAATCCTGTTTTTGACATTCCTCCAACTCATCACAATTTTGGGCAAGTGCACACATGCCCCAGGTGTTTTTTTAAGCCACTGGGGCCAGGATTTGAACCATGAGAAGCCATGTGACATTCAGCTTCCTATGGACAGGGTTTCACTGCTATGCTACAGGGCCAGCCCTTTATGTTTTAATTTTTTAGAAAGAGGTTCTATTGACAGAACAGACTCACTGTATACTTTTACCTGCACAACTGTATACAATTACATTTCTATCACCTCTAAAGTATTCTCTGAGCTCCTTCCTAGTCCTTTCACCAGGCTGTCAGAAAAGCCATGATATATTTTTCTATGCAAAAATGTGTCATGCCTTTTCTGATAACCAGTACTCCTGATCCTAGGAGTAGGAACAACCACAGCATATTGTTATTATCCTGATTGTCCACAGCATGTGAGTACAGTGTACAATAACTGTTTTGCAATAAAATTAAACACAAAAAGCCTTAAGAAATACATTCTCAATACAAAAAAAAAGTTATTTACCTGAGTTTCTTTCTTATTGGATCCTTCTTCTGTATCTGATTGTTGTTCTTGCTCATTTTCATCACTCTAAAATAGATCATGAATTTATTTTAGGAAAATAAAAGATAAATTTCAAACAGTTGATATTTAAAAACCTTAGGGTTCCTCCCAATTAAAATGACTCTTAAGAGGAAACAAATTATATTTGTTCTTTGTAGGTATATGTTGTATCAAAACAGCATAAATTTCACATTAACAGTGTTACTCCACATTTGTTCTTTATCTTGCATACAACAGAAATGGTAGGCATATAATCAGGGATAAGGAAAAAAGCAAATTTTTATAGGATTGGCCTAGTTTGATAAATAAATCATTGCTTCTCTGGAAGTAATTACATTATGTAGATCTTTGTGTAGATCTTTATGTATGTATTTGTGAAAAATAAGTCATGTCATGTATCTTTCTTTCAAGATTTCTAAGATATGGGAGCAGTGTATTCACTACAAAATCGTCAATATATGTACTATGGGCTGTGGTCATTATTTTTATTACAAAATTGAAACTGAACTCCTGCTTTTTCAGTAGTATCAATAACTTAAATATTTAATTATCCTTACAAAGAACATTTCTTATTTAACAACTTGACTCAGAAAATATAGTGATGATTTAAAGAATATGCAACCTATACAAGCATGTAAGAAATGATTAGTATGCACTTTTGGAAACATTAAACATACTATCAAGTAGGCATATTTTAATAGGTTCTCACATCTTGTGTCCAAAATGATACTCCTGTCGATCTTCTTTTCTCTCTCGGTCGCCGTCGTTCTCTGATTGACTTATGTGATTTATCTTCTCCTTCCTTTTCCTCTTCTCTTTTTTCTCCCTCTGATAATGATTACAATAAACCACATAACAGTAGGGTTATGTTTAAAGTATAAATGTAAAAACAATTCTAAGTCATCTACTTTTGTGAAGCTTTCTGAATGTCTCTAATCAGAATTAGTCTTGCCCCATCAGTGCTGTTACACACTTAAAAGGTATCTCTATTTCCTATTAGATTCATTCTTAAGGATTAGGACAATAACTAATCATCATTTTCCTAGTGCCCCAAATAAAATTTTTGCTCAAAAGACTAAGTAACATTTGCTGAATTGAAAATAATGAAATCCTATAAGAATAGGTTCCAGTTATTAATGTCTGATAGGTAGATAGCCAAAGGTAATGCGCTAAGAAAAAAAAAATTATTAATGATGAAACAACTAGTTGTAATGATACAAATTTGCTGTTTGTCCTCCTACTATTGCCAGTTCTCACTAAGCAGTTATACAGTATTCATTATTATTGGATAGTATGTAAGAGCAAATTTCTTCTGGAAAATAAATTAATCTTAATCCATACCCCACCATCCAAAAAATCAGGCTCAGATGGGGCACCTACACCATGCTAGAGCTATAAGGGAAGAACTTGCGTTCTGATCACCGGTTGACCTAAACATGCCAAACACACTAAGTGTGCCCATGACTGGGGGAATTATGGCATGGCAGGACCCTGTTGGGGGTTCCTACCTTTGTGTGTGTCTCCATCTCTAATGAAATGAATAAATGTTTTTCAAGTCAATAAAAAAAGTTTGTTGGAAGATTTTTATTTCCTTTTTGGAATAGTTAAAAAGGCTTTAGGTTTATGCATACTAGACCAATATTAAGGCTTTTGAAGATGCTGGAAAAACTACACATATGTAGAACAAAACTGACTTTAAAAAGACTATTATGTGGGGCAAGCAGGTGGCACAGTACTTATGTGTTGAACTCCCATATGGCCAACTGTGGTTTGAGTCCTGGACCCAACGGTTTGAAAAATCAAGCTAGGGGAGTCTATGTGTGTGCCTGAAATCCCAAGAGGAGAATAAAGGAGAAGAAGGGACTGTGGCATGGCCATCCCCGCTGGTGGGTAATTTCCTTACTTTCCCTCTCATTGTCTCTCCCTGGCAAGAGAATACATCCTACAGCAAAAATCTTAAAAACAAAACCCCAAAAAAAACCAATCAATTGAAAAAGACTATACGTAATCACCAGAGTCATAAGAAAAGACACACCAAAATTACAGTATTAAGAGATGATTTTTAATTGTCAGAGGGCATGTGTGCTTGCCAGAGAGAAAGTAAAAAAGTAAGAGAGCGAGTAAGCATCTGCCAATGGGCCACAATCATGCTGCAATCTCTTCTCCTTCATTTCTCCATCCTGTTGGGATTTTGCCATTCATGAACACATGCTTGGTGTGTTTTTCAAACCACCAGGGCCTGGATTCAAACCACTGTTAATTATGTAGGATCTGGCTCCCTTAACCACTAAGCATTGGTGCTTAACTTTAGGTGCTGACTAAAAAATTTTAAAAACTTTTACGTGGGTATCATACATAGTGTTTTTTTTTTTTTTTTTAAATGCTAGAGAGTGTGTGCATGCATATGAGAGAAAGAGAAAAGAGCATACATGTGCACTTATGCATGCAATTCCCCTTATGGAGTGAGCCTGGTCATGCTGTGATCCTTTCTCCTTCAATTTTATTTTTTTTAAACATTTTTTTTTTAAAAAAAGAATTAGTTTATTTTTTATTTTTACTTTTTAATTTGACAAGAGAGAGCAAGCTGACAGGTCCGGGACTCAAACCATAGTCAGTCATGTGTGTGTTGGGGGGAGGCAGTGCCCTTAACCACCATAACACCTGCTGGACCCTGTCCTTCAATTTTCTACTGTCAAGATTTTTGGCATGTGTGTATGTACACCCAGTATGTTTTTCAAGCCACCAGGGCCAAGACTTGAACCTTGGTTGACCATATAGGACCTGGGTTCCCATGTGCAGTGCTTAGCTATTGCACTACAAGGCTGAGTCCACAAAGTGGCTTAAAGAACTGACACATCCTCAATGACCAAAAAAGGAAAATGCAGAATGTGAAAAACTGAATTTTCTAACGTTTATTATTTATGATTACTGATCATATCATGACTAATACCATGTGATTTCACTTAAGAAAAATTGCCAGAAGGTGCCTGTGTTTGCCGGAGACAGAGAAAGAGAGAGAAATAAAACTCTTTTCATGAGGAATAGCTACATCACAATTCCTTCCCCTCCATTTCTTCCTCTATTCAGAATTTTGGGCAAGCATGCACATATGTCCAGCATATTTTTCAAGCCATCATGTCTGGGACTGGAACCATGCAATTGGTCATGTGGGATCCAGCCGCATTAACTATTAAATCACTCTGGTACATGATTTCGCTTTTACAATATAAAGTTACTATAACGGGAAATTGTAATAGCGTTAATGGGTCAATATATAGCTGAGAAAAAAGATCTATTTTTCAAGAAATAAGCATAACAGTTTTGTTTTTTCCAATGATATCACAGGTGTTAAGTGATTTCACTTGAAATAGCTTAATGTACCCAAAAAGTACTACACTGATATATTCCTAGAAATAGTCACTACTACCTTCTATACTGACTTTTCTTTGTAAGTGGACATTAAGTTTTTGTGAAGTATCAGGTTACAAAGATATCTGTATCAACCCTAGACCGTATCCTTTTCTAGTTTTGTTTTCTACTTTTCTCATTCTTTTTTATAAAAGAATTGTTTTACTTAACTTTCTCTCTCTCTCTTTTTAATTTGACCAGAGAGGGTCAGAGTGAGAGTGAAAGAGAGAAAGAGAAAGTGAGAAAGCAAGCTGCCAGGTCCAGGATATGAACCACAGTCAGCCATGTGGGAGTCCAGCACCCTTAACTACCATGCCACCTGCTGGCTCCCTACTTTTCTCATTCTTAACCATCAAATTATTTCTGTTTAGGTTGAGCGAGTAACAGTTTAGAATGTCATTCCTTTTCCATTGAATTAAGAAAAAACCAATTCAAAGAATTATGCAAAGAAACAGTGTTTTAAAATGTTGGTCTTCTTACCTCTTTCATTTTCTTTGGTCAATCCCCTGGAGTAAGCAGAAGTTATACCTACAAGACTATTTGGCCTGTTTAGTTGACTTGAAGCATAGAGTGAACTGCTCATAGAAGAAAGGGAAGAAGATGGAGTGGTTGAACTTGAAGTTGATACTGGTCTGTAACGCTGGTAAGTCTGTTAAACATTAAAATTAAACCCTATTTGAAATATCAACACAATTTAAAACATAAAACACTAAAACAAGGTAAAAATACAATGCTCATGCCAAATTTACAACTAAAATCAAATTAGCTGTAAATTCAAATTTACAGTTAAAATCTGTTTGAGTATTTTGCATGGTTGGTTGGTATATCAATTTCTTGTATGTTGAGAATCATTAAGAAATATTGCTACCATTTGATTCAACTGTTTAATTGATGTACTATTATTACCTCATCATATGTTCTTGAATACTTTTGTTTATATTCATCCTCTTTAGATGTTTCTGATTCCTTCTTTTCTTCTTGTTTCTCTTTATCCTGTTTTTCTTTTTCCTCCTTTTCTTTTTCTTCATTTTCTTGTTCTCTAGTTCGGGTAGAACGACTTCTTCCTATTGTTTTTTCGGCTTCCTGAAGATCAGTTAATGTCACCCCCTGTACACATACAAAAAGATACATTTAATTATGAGATATATTAAACCTTGTTTCAAAGCAATATTTTACAAATAGATATACTAAACATGAATGTATTAAAAGTCAATATGCATACTTTTTCTTATTTATTTTTTGAGAGGTTTTTGCTATAGCGCGTGTGCGCTCGCCAGACAGAGAGAGACAGAAAGCGAGAAATCACCCCCCAGGGGGGATGGTCACGCCACAATCCCTTCTCCTCTCGGGATATTGGGCACACACGCACACGCGCCCAGCGTGAGTTTAAGCCACTGGGTCCAGGACTTGAACCGTGGTCGACTACGTGGGAGTCCAGTGACATAGCCATTATACTAACTGCTGGTCCCAAGTCAATATGCATATTTTGAATTGGTCTGCAAGCAGAATCTTTACTCAGCCAGTTACATTCACTCAATGAAGAATCACAATGGGCAAGCACAGGGACACGTACTGGGAAAGACATAAATGGGCATAAAAAAATCATCCCTGTATTCAAAAATAAAATAGAAAGGGAGACACAGGAATACCATATAAATATAATAGTCCCAAGAAATTCAGAGAAGGGATGAAGGGCTGATATATACACTGTTTATGTTATGCCATATGCATTTACATTTTATAGATATATAGATACAGATATGTATGTACCTACATAGTAATCGAGTTTAACAGAGATTGTAGTAAAGAAATAATTATGCAAGGTTAGACCTTAAAAAAATAGGTTAGATTTCAATAGTAGAAGGTATAAAGATGGAAAATGGGAACCAGCAGTTAGCATAATGGTTACGTTGCTGACCTCCCATGTAGTCGACCGTGGTTCGAGTCCTGAACCTGGTGGCTCTAACTCACACCGGGCACGTGTGTGTGCGTACCCAGGATCCTGAGAGGAGAATGGAGGAGAAGGGATTGTGGCATGGCTATCCCTCCGGGGAGGGATTTCCCACTTTCTGTCTCTCTTTCTCTTTCTCTCTCTCTCTCTGTCTTTCTGGAGAGCACACGTGCCCTATAGCAAAAACCTCTTCAAAAAAAAGATGGAAAATGTATGTTTAAGACCCTACAAACAGCTTTCAAAGATAAGTAATAGTAAAGATCAAATAATTAAATCTGGACTACAGAGATACTCAATAGTAAGAAAATAAGACAGAAAGGAATACATCAAAATGAGAATAACAAGGAGGAGCTAGGGAGATAATAACTAGCTTGAGTGGCATTCTTCTCATACTTGCACACTGGCTGTTTGATACACCTAATATAAGAGGCAACTTGCCCCCTACCCCAAATATTCATACAACTCTAAAAATTACCAGATATCCTATACGATTAATTCATACTGACTCATACTTATCTAATACTCTGTGCCAGACACATTAGAAATGGGGGGTAAAAATAAATAAATAGGGCCAGCAGGTGGTATGGAGGTTAAGGTACTAAATTCTACATGGCTGACTATGTGGTTTGAGTCCTGGACCCAGCACGACTGGGAACACAATGGGCTGGGCGTGTGTATGCCCAAAATCCCAACAGGAAACTGGGGCGAGAACTGTAGTATGGTCAACCTCCCAGGGGGTAGTTTCTCATTTTCCCTCTCTTTTTTTCTCTCTCTGTTGAGTACACATGGCCTATAGCAAAAAACTAAACAAACAAACAAAAAATACAAAAAACTCTAAAAATTAATAAATAAATAAGCAGTCAAAGAAACACACAAGTGTGCCAGACAGCTCACATAGCCAATTATTAGGTTGGAAAAGTCATGTTGCATTTTTTGCATAGAAAAATACATTACGACCTTCTCGATGACCTAATAAATGAGATATAAAATCAAAAATAGAACAATATACAAAAAACAATGGAGGGATTACTAGAATAACCCTTATCTTTTCAAAATTTACTCACACTATATACAGACATTAATATTTTCATAGCAAAGTGAAAAAGAAAAAGGCAAATTCTTATTTTCCAAGTATGTATGTTTTATATATTTACATACGTTTATACATGTTTTACATATGATACACATTAATTATACCTGTGTGGATCTTCTAGACTGTCTTGCTTGTCTAGATCTTGCTTTTCTTTGGGATTCAGACTCTTCATCCCTAACAGGAGTGAGGTATGATCTATAGTGACAAATAAAAATTGTTAGTTGTAGATATAATACTTATCATATAAATATATAAATTTAGGATTTTGGTAGGTTTTAAGTCTATGTTTTATCCTGTCATGGAATATGCACAATTTCACAAGTACACAATCTATGCCAAAAGATAACTTATTAAAGGTTTGAATAAGCAAAGATAAGTCAGAGCCCTGAAACACACATGAAGACTTCCCTCTAATAATACCACTCAGGAAATTCAATTGTTAATACTTCATCTAATTACATTACCATTTAGCTCACATTTCTTAGCAAATGCTTACAGGAGTATCTCTACTAGCTAGGTCATATGATCAAGCAATGATCTAGTAAATTTTCTTTATTCAAATGTTGCTTTTTAAAACAGGCTCATTTTTTAGCTTTAGTATTCTTAATTTGTAATTCATCTCTGTTCCTTATCTAACACTATGATCTTAACAAACTTACTAATTTGTTATGAGTTTTCTGTCTCTGTCCTATTTTTTTCTACATTGACCTTTAAAGTACTCAGCTCAGAGTATAGCACAATGAAATTTACAGTTTCTTTGGAATTCTTTTTAGAGTATCTATTCCTTTTCTATACTTAGAATTCATTTCTTTTCCCAATTGTCTTTGAATTTTTTGAAATCTGTCTCTTTAAAACTATTTAGAATACATGACTCATTATTCTTAACACTCACTTCCTAAGATAACCTGGCAAGGTCATTTCTCACCCAAGATCTTAGTTGTCTGAATTTCATCAACCAGCTCTTACTTATTGGTTAAACATTACTTTTAGAGGCCTCATTCTCCTTGTTGCTTCTCCTGTAATTACAGATGAACTGTGGACAGGTAAATCAAGAAATTCTCAAGAGTGTATTTCTGGGTGAGTGTATTTCTGGTTAAGGTGGCTAGATTCCACCTGTGTAGCTTGAGCCCTGGACCTGGGCAGATTGAAAAACACTGTGTGTGTGTGCCTAAAATGCTGAGGAGAAATATTTGCTATGTGGCCATCTCCCCTGTGTGGTGCTTTCTCACTTTCTCTCTCCACTGATGCACACACCCTTATAGCAAATTTAAAAAAAAATGTGTTCTTACTTAAGTCAGTTAGCTAGTAAACTTACAAAAAAATGAAAATTTCATCACTACTCTCTTTTTTTTTTTTTTTTTTTTAAGTTTTCATCATAGGGTGCATACACTCTCTGAAGAGAGAGAGAAATCACGTTCCCAGGGAGAATGACCACGCTACAATCCTTTCTCCTCCATTCTCCTCTCCGGATTTTGGGCACATGCGCCCAGAGTGATTTTCAAGATGCCAGGTCTGGAACTTGAACCATGGTTGGCCACATGGGAGTCTAGTGCCTTAACCACCATGCCACCTGCTAGTCCCTTTCACTATTATATCTTCACTTAAGTTGTTTTTATAACCTGGCTTGAGAAAATATCACCTGTTTCTTTGGTTGAATAACTTAAAGCACTATCACATAATGATATAACTTTGTGCACTTATTATCTTTATCCATGTGCTATCATGTTTTCACCTTGATGTTGCTAGACTGTTCAAAGATGTCTTCTTGCTATCATAGCAATACTAGTTTATCTCATCAACAAGGCACACCCCGTTCTAGAAGAGCCATTAATTGAAGATTTCTATTCCATCAAATATGGTTTCTCCTAAAAAATTTTGTTACATAGGGTTTCATCTGTACTAATGCACAGATTCAAATAAGTACAAAGAGTACGACCAGCCCGCCCTCCCTTCTATGATGATATACTTATCTGACTTCTCTTTTTCCCCTTGTTTTATAATTCTCATTCTATTTTAAAGGATTTTATTTAGACATAGTATACTTTTTTTTTTTTTAACAATTGTAGTAAGTTTTCTGGGACAAGAAATCTAAAGGGAATAAGAGAATAATCAATTATCTTGTTATTAAAGTTTGAGAAGATCCAGCCTTGTGGTAGAGTTGGTAGCAAAATGAATTCCAGTGCTGAGCACCACATGGCCTCCTGGGGATCTGGACCCCTGGGTTGGCTTGAAAACACATGGGGCACTTGCATGTGTACTTCAGCATCTAATGGGCTGGTATGCTGTGGAATGGGGACGGTGGCACGGTAAGACCTAGTCTTCACTCTCTATCTCATGTATGTACATGCTCTACCATGGCTGATATAAACAAACTTGAGTAACAAATTTAAGAAACATTAATTCTGGGACATGCTAAGAGAGACTTGTTTATTATAGAAAATTATATTTTAGGAAATGCTGCACATTTTAACATTCTCTAGGAAAATTACAATAACATATTAAAGTTGGGATATACTGAGGGAAGTACTCTTTGTAACTCAGTATTTTCCAAGTTCATTTAAGTAAATAATTTTTTTTTTTGAGAAATACATTATTTAACGTAGAAAGGGTCCCTAGAAACATCAGCCTAGGTTATGCGGTCCAAGGGGTATTGTTTTCATTCATTCATTTAACTCTTCATTCATATACCTACTGGAACTAGGCAATTTACTACTTTTTGAACTTCTATCAAATGAGGAGAAGAAAACATAAAAGGAGATGAAACCTAAATGTGATAGCTATATATTCTGTTTTACAGAAAAAATTATAGGAGGCCAGAAGGGTGCATGCATCACTTAAGCCTTTCACGAGCTGTTTCAAAAGCAATTATGAACATGGATTACTGAATTCTGGCCCCTCTTCGTATTGTCATATTTTTCAAATTTAGTTTTAGAACTGAGAATCCTGTAGTGTCACTTCACTCTTCCTACTCCAGTGGTAAGCAGCAATAATCGACCATTATGCTCTCTTCCAATCAGCTTCAATTCCTTTACAACACAGTTTCAAGTTGCCATGAGAGTTAAAAAGCCTATTTATCATACCTAGTTTAACATACACAGGTTGGGGTATAATAGTTACCAGATAAAAGACTTGTAAAATTTGTTCATCTAAGCACTAGCTGGTGGTATGCTAGCTAAGGCAGCTAGATGCTACATGGCTGGCATGGTTCAAGTCCTGGGCCCAGTGGCTTGAAGAATAGGAGTGCATGTATGTGTGTGCCCCAAATCCCAGAGGACAATAGAGAAGGGACTGTTACATGGCCATCTCCTCTTGGGCAGTGCTTTCTCACTTTCTATCTTTCCCTGTCCCTTGACAAGCTCATGTATCCTATGGTAAATTAAAAAACAAAACAAAACAAAACAAAAAACTAAGAAACTGTTCATTTAAATTCCCCATAAAATTTTTGATCAAAATACCATAAAAATCTAGCCTACGAATTTGTAATATAGAATACATTTCTTATATTTGATAGTCACCATTTGATATTTAGTTCCTTCTCTAATGGGGTGCCTAGTTAAACTAGCATATCTTTATGAATAAGATATAGAAAAGAAATTTATACATTTTGTATTTTTTTAATTCCAAAGAGCTGATGATCAAAAAGATGGTACAATATGACAGTCAAACCCCACTGCTATCTTAATAATTATTATATTACACTGTCCTATATAGCATTTCTTTCTTATATATATGGAACATAAAATTTTATTCCCTAGTCTTAGACTGTTTACTATTTTCTGAGCAACCCCAAAATTTACTTTTTTATTTCAAAGTTTTTGAAAAGAGATGCAATTAGGAACCATCAGATGGTATAGTGGTTAAGACACTGGACTCTCACACAGCTAACAGTGGTTTGAGTCTAAGACCTGGACCTAGTGGCTTCAAAATCACACCAGGTGTATGTGTGTGCATGCCTGAGATCTCAGGAGAAGGGACTGTGACATGGTCACCCCCCTTGGGGTGATTTATAACTTTCTGTCTCACTGTGTGTGTGTCTTTCTCTCTGGTGAACACATGCATCCTAAGGAAAATATCTCTTTAAAAAAAAGAGATGCAATTATTTTATAGTTTTTAAGTTTCACTCACATTTATTAGCTGAAACATTTATGTTTATTTGTAATGGTTATATTGTTTGGCTATAAACAAATTATACTTTAAGAAAACCAATACTTGTTATTTCACTATCAAGCAACTTTCTTTCCAGAGGGAAAATGGGCCCATGGGAGCTGGCTGAGACAAAAAAACATGGTGGAAGATAGCAGTTAGACTAAAGCAACAGCTCCATTTAAGTATGAAGTCATTAGTAGTATTCTGCATTTTAAAAAGAATATGGAGAATTATCAGTACTTAACAGTAAAAGAAAAACTATCATGCCCTACCTATTTATTCTCACTACTTCCAAACAAAAATTTGTCTGTTGGAAATCTTAACAAAACAGGAAACCCTAATATAATCCTGATTAAGAAAAAGAGAAAAATTAAAGAAAACTGTGGAATTTAACAGTGTGCATGGTAACTTTATGTAGTACCCAAAAGTATGTATTTCAGAGTACTTAGTAGCATTAATGTATTGACTTTTCTTTTTTAGCTATAAAATATACTTTTTTCTTTTTTCCTTTATTCATGACAAAGTACATGTGTACACAATGAGAGAATCAGAAAGGAAAAGATAGTGGAGCATCCTCTATAAGGGTCTATTCACACTGCAATCCCCTTCTTTTGGTCCCTCAGATCTTTGGCACTTGCACATGTGCATAGTGTGTTTTAGGCCAACTGGCCTGGGAGTAAACCATCCTTCCCAAGTGGGATCCAGCTTCTCATTACCACTGTTCTATGAAGTCAGACCCCACAGGATATATTAAATCATCATTTATACATTTATTATGCAAAGTTTTAACCACATACATTTCAGAAGTACATATAAAACTTAATTAAAAAATGAACAGAAGAGGCCAACAATGTACTCAAAACTGCAAACAATAATTTCACGTGGAACAAAACACAAACATTAATACTACTGCAAACATCATAGAAACAAGGTAAGACAAACAAGATCTCTATAATATAGATCAGAAAAAAATGTCAACAGACATGTTTTGTTTCTTTTGCTATTAAAATCTGCTCTTTCTTAATAATATATGCAGATGTCTAATTTTCAATATTTAATGTCTTCCAATAAAATTAATTGGGACTAATTCTGAAAGATTAAACTCCAGTCTCTCCAACAGGATTAAAAAATTAATTTGAGGTTAAAAATCATAATTTGTTCTGGAACAATGGATGATTCTGGGGAGATGTCTCAATCATAAGGCTGAAACTGTCACTGGAGAAATTTTTAGAAGTATGGGATGGTAAAAATAAGAAATAATCCTATAATTTAAAAATTATGAAATTCCGACATCTCATTTTACAAAAAAATAAATTTTGACCCTGAGAGAACTCTATTCTTGTTAAGGACCAAGGCCAAGCAAGAAGTAAAAGACCAACAACCTCTGATTCTCTTTTCCTTTCAATAATCTCTTCCCACCAGTGCACAACCTTATGATAAATTTGGTCAAATGGCAAACTGTTTTGATAACTTTAAGTAAATGATGGTTATGTAAGGTCCTCTAGTTTTTGTTGGCTATATGGTCTTTTTGAAAGCACCACAGAAACCTAAAACTGACTTAAATTTACAAATAGTTATATCAATTCTACTTATTGCTGAACTGACATGGAGTTTTTCATTTATTAGCCTACTGGAGAGATGGTCATCAACTTTGCAAGATTTTAAAACCAAAACGAAACAAAATAGAAACAACTTTCATTACTGGGCAAGAAATATCGGTAGTACTGTTAGGACCTTTACACACCTGCGTCTCTCCCTGACCTCTGATGTAGAGGAGACAGTGCCAGCAGTAGTTGTAGTCAGGGTTGTGGTAGAAGCTGCAGCATTTACAACAGTTGGAGCAACAGGAATGGTCACTGCCGTAGGAACACTGTCCTTTTCTTTTTCAGTACTATCCTCAGCCCACAAACGATTTGAGGTACTATAGCATCATAAGCAGCAACACAAAAAGAGAAAAGGAAAACAGCTAAACAATGAAAGCACTTTCTAGCAGCTGAAAACGCAACTATAGGGATGGATTTTTTAAAAACACAAAGCAAGACATCTTTCAACTATGAACCAAGAAGCTCACCCAGAGCTGTCTAGGAGAGAAAATTACATTTTAAGCAGACAAATTCAAGAAAAGTCCACAATTCAGGAACTTAATTTTTCCCCAGACATGCATAATTGCCTCTTTCAGAAACCAATTTTGGCTTGTAAATAATTTTTACAAGGTAAACGAAAAAAATCCAGAGCCCCACAATCTTCTAAACAAAAATGCATGCACATACATAAGCACACAGTGGACCTGAACACAAAATGTTGTCTGTGACTTACCTGCTTTGTGTGCCTGCTGAGGAAGAACCCGTTGTAATCTTTGTAGTAGTGCTTGTGCTGGAAAGCAGGCTTTTCTGAAGCCCAGCTGCAGAGGTAACTGTTGGTGTTGATGTGGTGCTTGGAACACTAGAACTAATCAGATCATCTTGTCTTCTACCAAAGGAGCAACTAAAGGAAAGAGTCATATCTATATAGGATGTGTTTGTATGTGTATCGTATAGTTAATGTCTATATATTATTCAAATTCACAAGGCTAGAAAAAAAAATCTAAAAACCGTGTTCCTAAATACACCACCAGCTCCAGCACCAAGAGTTGCACCTACAATTTGCTAGAGTTTAAATAATCTCATTGATTCGGTAGTGTATAATTTTATTGCCTCCTTCTAACCCTCTTAGCAAGACTAAGAGATGATCTGAACTGACATTCACATTTCTGGGACTACTCTGGACCATACAATTAAGCTAGGCTGGGCCTAAGAAAAATATTCTGGTGTGCTTTTTATCTAGGGAACAAAAGATGTTGACATTTTTTGACAAAACTTGTTCTAGCAATGAGTCAGATCTCTAGGAGTGAACATACATTATTTCTGTTCACAGCTTTTTTTTCTTTATGGCTGCTTTTAGCAGAGAAATATAATTTATTGCTATTTTGTTCTCTAATATTTTGCCAACATTCCAAGTGAAGGTATTTCCATAGATTTGAGTTCTAAGACAAGTCCAAACTTTCCAGATCATAAATACAACCAGATCAATTAAGACACTGGTCTATTTCAGTTGCTCTAGTCAAGTATATAAGGAGTTCCTTTTAAATACAACTCTGAAAGATTATTTCATAACATACCAAGTTTAATTAAAATTACAATAGAAAAGCATAAGTAAGAGCAACTTATCACCCATCTCTAAACATATATTGTCTTTAAATCAAATTTTATTTAAATAGCAAAAGATATAATACTTAATAAAAACATATACTTGCCTAAATAATGTTAAATTGAGGGCTCAAAACAAATTGCCTCATATTTTTATAAAAGCATACATAAGAACTATCTAAAAATTACATTATTACCTTTTATGATAAGTTGATCCTTCATTAATTGAGCTATTTTTTTTAAGATCATCTTCCCATTTCCGTCTAGTGTAAGAATTACTTGTTCGCAAACTTGAAGTATCTCTGTGAAAAGAATATTTTTCAGATTGTGGTTGATAATAATTGGGTTAAGAAAGCTGTATACAGAGGTCAGCAGGTGGTATAGTGGTTAAGACACTGGACTCCCACATGGCTGACCACAGTTTGAGTCCTGGAGCCAGTTTCTTGAAATGCATGCCAAGTATGTCCCCAAAATCTAAAGAGGAGAACAGAGAAGTGACTGTAGTGTGGCCATCCCCCCTAGGGGGTGATTTCTCACTTTATCTGTCTCTGTCTCCAGTGAATGTGCAGAGAAAAAAATAAGTAATAGATGTCGAAACTATAGGTTGAGCAACTCTAACCAAAATTCTGAAATCTGAAATGTTCCATATATGAAACCTTATGAGCATTGACATGAAACCACATGTGCAAAATTCCACACTTGACCCCAAGTGACAGGTTATAGCCAAAATGACGCAATACCAAAATACCGTATAAAATTACCTTCCGGCTGTGTTCAGTAAGATATATAGGAAGTATAAATGAAGTTGATATTTAGAATTGGATCCCAACCCCAAGACATCTTTTAATTCTAAAATAGAGAAAAATCTGAAACACTTCTCACCCCAAGCAATTTGGACAAGGGGCATTTAATCTATAGTAAAATCCTTTGGGAAAATACTTTGCAATATTTAATCAAGAAGTGAAAGTTTATTCCGGTTCTAAGTGCCTGTCCCTAAAGAATAATCTTAAATATAAAGGGAAAATTAAGAGAGATATCGAAAGATTATTTATGATTACAAAACATTAGGCAATTTAAATGCCCATAGCATTGGGAGGAGAAATGGTTACCTTAACCTCAGCATAAGGCATAAGTAAGAGCAACTTATCACCTATCTCTGCTCAGCAGATATATTCTATGGTATATTGTATGCTAATAAAAAACTATGCTGGGGCTGGCAGGTGGCATGGTGGTTAAGGGTGCTGGACTCCCACATGGCTGACTGCAGTTCGAGTCCTGAACCTGGTGGCATGCTTTCTTACTTTCTCTCTCTGGTCAAATTAAAATAAATAAATAAAAGTTCAATAAAATAATTACTAAAAAAAACCCCCAAAGGTTATTGAAAATATTAACATAAAATACTGATTGTGAGATGTTAAAACAATCAAGACATAAAATTGGATAACATGATTATGATATTAACAAGTTCTCAAACTCTATATACTGAAAAATAGGAGAAAACAAACTAAAATGTCAATACTCATTAAGTGAGGCTTTTCTTTTTTTCTTCTCTTCCCTTTTCCAAATGTTCAAAATACTTAGAAAACTAATTTGGTGCCTCATTTCCTTTCATTTTCCCCTTGTGCTGTTGTAGCCAAAATGCCTTCCTTCACTATTTTGCAAATGTACCAAGTCTGCACCTCCTCATCACTGTGTATTTGTGTTCTCCAGCTCTTCTCACAACCATATCCCACATGATTACAACAATGCTCATGTATTAACTCTGATGCCAGATACTAAACATACAAAGCAAATCACTCACCTGTTTTCTTTCTCTTCGATGTCAGATGTACTGGCTAGTCTTCTTGGTATTGTGGGTGTAACATATGCAAGCCTAGTTCCTTTACTATCTTTCTCCTAGCAATAGGAAAAAACATGAGTAAAAACAAATTTGTGTGCTAATTATGGACACTGGTAAAAGCATTAAGAAAGGGTTATTCAACAATATGTAGTTACATAGCTACTGCAGTTTACAATGCTTTAAAGTTCCTAGTTAAAACTATGAAATCAATGTCTCAGTAATTGGATACTATAATAAAAGCTGTTCAAACTAATTTTTCATTCTTTCTCCTTTAGTCTAGAATTACATATTTTAACATAAGAAAGAAAAAATTCCTCTACATTTTAATGACTTTCTCTAAGAGTTCTACAACACATTAATATAATGTGTAGAAAGCTAAAACATCCTTTCTTCTAGAGATATAAGGAGTCAAAAATGGTTCATTGAGAAGTCCTAATTATTTATGCTATATGAGGTACCCACAAATTTGGTACTCTGTGCTTTAAAATACATTAAAATATCCAAAACACAAATTATTCGACTATATATAAACAAGGATGAGTGTATGTAGTGGAATTCTGATGCATTCCTGGTATATTGGCATAAAATACATGGAATGTACATAATGGGCAATATATTTATTAAAAAAAGGAAAAGAAAAAATATTAAAATTAGTTGGCAAGAAACTTTTTTTTTTGAGAGGTTTTTGCTATAGGGCACGTGCACTCGCCAGAAAGACAGAGACAAAGAGACAGAAAGTGAGAAATCACCCCCCCGGGGGGATGGCCATGCTGCAATCCCTTCTCCTCCAGGGATCTTGGGCACGCATACACACACCTAGTGTGAGTTTAAGCCACCAGGTCCAGGACTCGAACTGCAGTTGGCTACACGGGAGTCCAGCAACACAGTCATTATGCTAACTGCTGGTCCCACAAGAAACTTTTTTATATAAGGGAACAATTCTAAATAGTAGAAGAAAACTACTAAGAAAATAAAAAAAATAATCTAAGCACTGAAGATGCACTAGAAAATAAATAATCTATATAAAGTAGTATTGAATGAATCCAAATACATCCTATTTGATGCAATATTAATGCTGCCTCTCAATATATAATTATTACAACCACTTATTAGGATAAAGTTGCTTGCAATGTAGCAGATGAAAAATCTGGTAAAGAAATTATAGCTACTGGATAAATGTAAATTATGAGTAAACTAACATTCTAGAAAAAAATGTATCCCTAAACTCTGTAAAACATTAAATCATAATAAATAAAATAAGCCCGCTCCTTAATATATTTTATTGTAAATTTTCAAATAAGATAGGATTCCTTTAGCTGCACATTAGGCTGTTGGGAAAGTCATGACATATCTTTCTACGCAAAAATGTGTCATGACTTTCCTGACAACCCAACAGTTTCACAATTTATGTTTTGGAAAAATACATATGATATTCTCAGTACTTATAACTTCATATAGGTATCTGTCCATGGTAGGTACATTTGTATTCTGATATAATTCACTAAGTCAGTTGAATTAAGTTGATAACTCCATCTATTAGAAAACTAACAGATTTGATGTTTCTGGAAATGTTCCAGTTTTTCTAGAAACCAGACTATGAAACAGATTACCTTTTCTTTATTATCCAATGAGGAGGAAAGTCTGGGACTTGAGGCTGAACGCATAACACCTGCAGTGTCTTTTTCTTTCTGAGCCTCTTTAGATGCTGTGATTTCAGCAAGTGCACCATAACTGCCAGTCTTTCTAAGTCCTGACCTCCAAGATGCAGGAGATTCATCTTTTCTCTCTTCTTCTTTGGGAGAAATTTTTGTAGCTGAGGTTGGAAACTGTTAAAATTTTATTTTTCAAGGAAAAGAAAACAAGATTTATTAGAAGGGACCAGTCCTTAAGTTAAAAATATGTTTACAGATAATATGTCTAAAATTATAGTTAATGCTCTTAGGAAGAAACACTTTTACTAAGTAGGTTAATGTCTTAGTCAAAAATGTAAAGATCTAAAACTGAAAAAGAAAGAGATTACCTTTCCAGAGGTTAGATTTAAGAAAACACACTACACACTTTTTAACACACAGAAAAATTATGATGCAAATGTATAAAACAGAAATAAGCACACCATAAGGACTTAAAATCATGCATCTTTGGAACCAATATTTATATTAACTTGTTATGTTGTAACCTAATATAAATTCTTGCACATAGAAATGCCTCACCATAGATTTTTCACCTTTATTGGGCACAAGAACAATGCCAGTTTTGCGCAAGCCCTGCCTCCATGATGCTGGATCTACTGATTCCACCACAGGCATGATAGGAGCAATGAAATCATACTAAAGCCAATTAAAATAAGACAGGTAAAGAGATAAAGATTGAAAGCATGAAAACAGAAAAGGGAAGTTAAGAGCAAAAAACACTTTTTCTCTTTTTAAAAGATTTTAATAATGTAAAGCCCAATAATTATGTAATGACCTACTCTTTAAAAGTCACAGGGAACAATTCCAATTTTAGATTCTTTTAGATTATCTTATGCTAATAAAGAAACTTGTGGCAGCTAAAGGCACAAAGTGTAGATAATATATAGCATGTGAGTGAATGAACTTCTCTACATAAATTTTGTTTTTATCCATATATATATATATATATATATACATAATCTGGTTTTGAAAGTTTAAATCCAACATAGTCAACAGAAATCAAACAACTGGTATTCTCTAATTTTAATTCAATAATATTTTAAAAATTAGTTTTAAATCTATTATTTGTTCTCTCGCCAAACATTAACTTAAACATTTCAACTAAAATCTATTTTTATGTACATATTCATCTGATTTCCACTTCATCAACTTCATTTCTAGAAGCTAAATATTCAATCACAGTTAAAATATACCTAGAAATATCTAGTTGCTACAAGCCTTAGGTATTAGTATAAAAAAAATATTGCTAGAGGGGGCCTATACTCACTGGAGAGAGAAAAAGAGAGAAAAAAGAAAAAACAACCCCTATGGTAGATGATCACGTCACAGTCCTTTCTCCATTTCTCCTTTGGGGTCTGTGCGTGCATGTCAAGCATGCTTTTCGAGTCACAGGTCCAGGGCTCAAACTGTGCAGTCAGCCATGTGAGATCTTGTCACATTAACCCCACAGAACAGGCTGGCCCTTTAACTTTACAAAACTTCCTTCTTTCATACTTATTGCCAAAGTATGCTATAATTAGCTGGTTAACAGAGCTTACTAAAGCTCCCATGATGCTAGGCGGCCACTTCATAGACAAAACTGTTACAAGATACCTCTGGAATTCCAGTAATCAATTCCTATCAATAGCCCACACATGCATCAAGTCCCCAAATGTACACTTACGTAATCTAATTCACCACAACAAAATTACATGGGCTCTATGGGCTATTTCAAAGCTTTTTTTTTTTTTTTTTTTTTTTTTAATTAAAAAGGGTTTTGCGCTTTAGGGCACGTGCTCACCAGAGAGAGAGAGACAGAGATAGTGAGAGGGAAAGTGAGAAACCAACTCCTGTGGAGATGGCTGCACCACAATCCTTTCTCTTCCATTCTCCTCCTAGGATCTTGGGCATGCATGTACATGCACCTGGTGTGATTTTGAAGGCACCAGGTTTGGGGTCCAAACCGTGGTCGGCCATGTAGGGGTTCAGCGACGTAACTGCTATGTCATCTGATGGGCCTTGTTTCATTTTTGAAAGCAGCACAGTGACATCTCCTGTACGCTACACAAACTGCCAATATTAACTTGTTTGCACCTAACTATTTAATAAATTAAACAAACAGGTATTTCTTTTGGTCGAATGACACTATAAAAAAAATAAGCAACTACTAAAATGCTAGGGGCTCCAGTGAAAAGAGAAGTTTGGAATCTCTGTAATATTCAATGCAATGTAATAGGTACTGGGACAATCATTTACTGATTTCTGAGTTTAAAAAACCAGACTAAATTTTATGCTCTACAGATTGTAGATGATATTGAATCATCGGAAAAGTCATGATGTGTTTTCATTAATTAATTAATTAATTAATTAATTAATTAATTAATTAATTAATTAATTAATTAATTAATTAATTAATTAATTAATTAATTAATTAATTAATTAATTAATTAATTAATTAATTAATTAATTAATTAATTAATTAATTAATTAATTAATTAATTAATTAATTAATTAATTCCAACTAGTTTCTGCTTTTCCCTTTAGCTACCTGCCCCATTATGCGAACTTTTTTTTTTTTTTTTTGAGAGATTTTCACTGTAGGGCGCGTGCGCTCGCCAGACAGACAGAGAGAGACATAGAGACAGAAAGCGAGAAATCACCCCCCAGGGGGGATGGTCACGCCGCAATCCCTTCTCCTCCATTCTCCTCTCGGGATCTTGGGCATGCACGCACACGCGCCCGGAGTGAGTTTTAAGCCACCGGGTCCGGGACACGAACCGCGGTCGACTACGTGGGAGTCCAGGGACATAGCCATTACACTGTTGGTCCCATGATGTGTTTTTCTATGTAAAAATGTGCCATGATTTCTAATGACCCAATGTAATGAATGAGTGTGGCTGTGTTCCAAGAAAACTTTATTTAGGGACAATAAAATTTGATTTTGTGTCACAAAATGTTTTGATTTTTTTTCCTCCAGTCATTTATAAGTGTTTGATTTATAGTTTGTGAGCTGTGTAAGAACAGAGAGTAAGCCAGGTTTGGCTGACCAAGCTTATCTATATTCTAGCCCCTCAATAAAACTGCAAACATATGTTTTTCCTCTATAATAAAATAATCAAATAACAGATAATGCTTATTTAATGTTGGACCGTAAGCTAAGACTTAAGAAATGTTTACTAGTGTCTAAGCTAAGAGCTGCACATGGGTTACCTCACTTAAACCTTACAACCAACCAATGAAATACTATTACACTATACTATATATGCTGGTTAAAATTTAAATCCAACACAGTCAACAGAAAACTAACTGGTATTTTCCAGTCATGATATTTAATTCAATATTTTAAATAATCGCAGTCTTAAATTCACTGTTTGATTTTCCCATCAAACATTAATTTAAACATCTCAACCAAAATCTATTTTTATGTACAAATATTTATTCCATTTCCAGGGCATTCTGACAGCCCTAAAAATACAACATCTGTTTATCTTAAGTGCGTTAACTTTATCAACTTCACTTATGGAATTTAAATATTCAATCACAATTAAATATATAGTGGTAAATATATTTTATTTTAGATTTGGGAAAAAATGAGGCAGTAATATCATTTTTTCAAAGGGTCTTTGTCACACTGTAATGGCTGCTATACCTTCACTCTGTCTGCCATGAATATGGATGTAAGTACTAATTTGTATGTTTAAATGCACCTTTCAATTTTATCTAGCCCATCAGTCAACCTTCCCAAAATACTTAAACTAAGACTCCTTCTGAAACTTTCTTCTTTTGCTTTTATAATAGGAATACTACCTTGATTTTCCTACTCATCTGACCACTTCCTTTTTGGGGGGCGGTGGAGATTGAGACGACTTTGAAAACTTTTCTTCTTCTAGCCCTGTAACATAAACAGTCCAAGAGTCTGCTCTCAGGTCTCCCGTCTTTGTCTAAGCCTTCTTTTTCCATTTTCTTGTGTGGGTAGGGTGTAGGATCTTCTCTTCTTCCTTAAGCTAAATATTGATTGCACTTAGCTGACTCTTAAATTTGTCATTGTCCAGTCCAGCCTATTTCCTATTTGGGAGTCCTGAATTTTCGTTTACCTTTAGAATGGACTATCTATAAGTATAATTGGATCTTGAAAATTAACATGTCTAAAACCAAACACTTCCAAGTCAACTCTTTCTCAGTTCTTTCTTTCTGTTAATGACACTAATGATATCGCTTCAGTTTCCCATATTTGAAATGTTGTACTCACGTTAGACTACTTTTCTGTCTTTTCCCTCTATCTATTAGGTGCCATATCTCTAAATTGCTTCCTTTCCTTCATAAACACACTGCCACTTACATAGTTTCTATTTTTTTTTTTTTTAAAGTTTGGTGTAGGGCACATACATTCACCAGAGGCGAGGGGGAGGAGAGAGATAGAGAAAATAAGAAATCATCCTCTGAGGGTGGGGGTGGTGGACACGCTACAATCCCTTTTCCTCCATTCTCCTCTCAGGATTTTGGACATCTATGCACAAGCACTTAGCTTGTTTTTCAAGCCATTGGGTCTGGGACTCAAAATGTGCAGCTGGCCGTGTAGGATTCAGCTGCCTTAACCTCCAAGCCAACTGTTGGACATGTAGGTGTCATTGTGGGAAACATCAATTACTTTCTAATAAGCTTTTTTGTCAATCAGCCTCTTGTCTTCAAATATACTTGTACAACACTGCCAGAATAAAATTCTATGAAGAATAATTCTCTCTTAGCATTGTTCAGACATGATCTATATGTCTTTACTACCTATCAAAAAAATTATAAAAGTGTTAATCTAGAAACGAAGACTTTACATGGTCTGACTTGCTTTTCCTGTTTTACTTTATATCTATGCTCTCTCTATATTTTACCTGCCAAATATTCCATATTATACCTGCTTGTTGACATATTTCTCTTGTCGCCCTTTCAATAAATTGTACAAACCCTCCTACTCTTTCAATTGAAATATTACATGCTCATTCTTCAAGATCTACATTCAATGTTCTAATCCCATTATTTCAAATCAATATAATCCCTTCCACTTTTAAACCATCGTGCTATATTCATATACTTTCGTTGGCATACTTCATACATCCACATAACAATATCTTCTTAAGTTATTATCATGTCTATTTAAATGCATT